ATTGGACTCTCTGTGTCACCATTTTGGATTGTTTCTTTTTTGCTTAAGGATAATTATAAATAGAGCTCAGAACTCTATAGAAAAGCCCCCAACTCAGTAAAACTCATAGAGAGACATGATCACTGGACCTCTCCTCTCTCAATGCTGTAAGTTTCCAAGGCTGGTTTGGGTACCTTATAGTAGAAACACATGGCCTCAGAGGATGAACTTAGTGTGCTAAATAAATCATTTACCTTCCAAAAGTACTTCAGGATGAAATAATAATGTCTTCTCTACCCAGAGAGCTTTACTATTGAATGTGTTTGCACATCAGTCATCTCATGTTGCTTCCACAAGGGCCTCAGGAGAAGCTCAGGCCAGGTACTCGTTTCTGCCTGTCTTCAAAGCAGAAAAAGACTCAAAGCAAGAAGGCCCAGGCACTTCTTGTAGGATACTACAGAGAGACAGGAATGAGTCTGGGAGTTGTCCACATCACTGCAACTTAAATGCAAAACTCTTCTCTTCATCAAAAATGTTTATCTTCATATCTCATTTTACTCAAAAAAACTGAAATGTCTTGTTTTTTCTTCTTGTAAGAAATCAGAAAAGGTTTGATTTTCCAATGTTAACACAGTTAAAAACAAAAAAGATGAACTGCCATACCACACCTTTGTGACGTCTGCTTAGAAAACTGCCACAAATGTACAGCTTCATCTCCAAACAGTGGAGAGGAGGAGGGAAGAAGAAAATGGGTCAAATAATTGCCAAAGAAAGAGTCCCAAAGAAAGAGTCTAATCAGAAATTTTCTTCTTTCAAATTATCTATCATTAAACACATATTTCAACAGAAATAAATTAACACAGAATTGGGCTCTTTGAAGAGGGTGACACCATAATAAAAACCGCTGTCAGACAGCTGATAATGAGAAGACCTATTTTATACAGTGCATGTCATTTTATGAAACCATTTACCCTTGATCACCTGAAGGCAGACCATGCACACACCCAGCCTCCAGCTCAGGGGGAAGAGAAAAAAGAATGCCAACTGTCTAGGTGACTGTTACCCATTTTGCTCAGTTGAGCATCACAGAAAGACATGAGCTTAGGCAAAAACTGGCTGGCTTGAGAGAGACAAGAGAGCATCTAGAGACAGTCCAGAAACATGGGCCTCACAATGCGGGAAAAGCTATCCCTCGGCACCCCAAGAGTAAGATATGCGACTGAACATGTTCTGAGCAGCAAAGACCCATTAAGACTCCACAATGAAAAGAGGGCTAAACTGTACACACAGGTGAGATTACAGGTGTGTCTCCCACCCACACCTATGCCTATTATATTATGTTAAGCTTCAAGTGCCCTGAGTAGAGAGAGACACATGCACACGAAAGCAAAAATATGAAGTAGCTGGAAGATTGTGACTAGAAAAGAACTTTGGCTATAGTTACTGGCACATGAAACTATCAGACGCAAATAGATCAGAAGCTACTAGAACTGGGGAGAAACTCCATTGCCAAAGAAACATGAGCCTAAAACAGTCAGTGACCGTCAAAACAACCCCAGACCTCCAAACTTCCACAAGCAGAAAGCAGGATGTGGGATCTTGCACCCCTTAACCCCTAAGGAAGATGTTCTCCCTATTTTAGTCAATTTTCTGTTGCTTATAACAGAATACCAAAAGCTCACTAATTTATAAGGAAAATGAATTTATTTCTTACAGTTGTAGGAGCTGAGAAGTCCAAGGTCAAGGAGGAGAATCTAGTGAGGATCTTCTTGCTGGTGGGGACTCTGCAGAGTCCTGAGGTGGTACAGGGCATCACTCAATAAGGGGCTGAGTGTGCTAGCTCAGGTCTCTCTTCCTCTTTTTATAAAGTCACCAATTCTACTTCCCTGATAACACATTAATCCATTAATCCATTAACCCATGAATGGATTAATCCACTCATAAGGGAACAGTCCTCAAGATCCAATCATATCTGAAGATTAAGCTTCAACATGAGTTTTGGAGGGGACAAATATTCAAACCATAGTACTCCCAAGGCCTAGCCAGATGGAGGGACAGAGAAAGGAGCCCTGGAGAACAACAGACCAGTTTCTCCTGCCCCCATTTCCAAGATAGGAGGTGAAAGAATCAGACACGCCACACTGTGACCATGATGAATGAAGACAAAAACAAGATTGTGCCAAAATCCCTCTCCCCACTGACATAAGTGATGACTGTTTCTTTACCAATCACAGCTTTATCCTCACTCCAGTCTAACCTCCTTGTAGATAAGATTTACAGACACTTATCATAACATTGTCCCCACTTACTGATACCATCCCACTTTCTTGAACCCTCCCCCAGATCACCTAACCAAAGTACAAATCCTGTAACAGGTTCCTTCTAATGCCCTCTTACCACAACACCCCACGGTTCCCAAGTGAGTGTCTAGTGGTCTTTGCTTAGAAAACATTGATAGATACCTTCATAATACTTGCCCGTGGGATGTTGCTCTTACTGTGGACCAAGAACTGACGTTTATCTTCCATTCTCCCCTTCCAAAATGGAAGTTTTAAAATTGCAGTTGGCTTGATTTGGCTCCACTATTGTATAGTGTGAACAGCAGATAACCTGTGTGTCAGTTCAGTCATTCAAACCACAAGAGCAACAACTGGATTTGATAAAGATCACACAATGCTAGAAATTCATCTTTTGTGCAAGACACAGTAACTGGGGGCAACTCTGGATTGTGTCCCTGGAGAGATAAATGCATGACAGTTGTGAAAGAAGGGTGTGCCAAGGCAAAGGACTGAAGCAGAGATAACTAACTGTTCATGAAGAACTGTGCTCCCCTTTCCCAGGACAGCATTGAAACTGGGAAGCAACTGTCAACCAGGAATAACACACTGCAGATTTCACGCCTGCATCTAGATAGAACCCTGTAACTAGATCTTGCCAGTGGAAAGTATGAAGAGATACAGATCATGGTCCTCGTCACTTTTGGGCCAACATGGCTGAGAAGCATGTGTGCCTTCTCCATGTTGCTCTCCCATCTGCCAGCTGGACTTACAGGAAGCAGGGCGTAGAGGATAAGGATGCCACCTCCATAGCAGATGGCATGACCACCCACTGTGAGGAGCTGGACCGAATCACCACACAGAGGAAACCTGATCACTGATGAGGAACATCCACAGTGAACTGTTACATGAGCAAGAAGCAAATTTTACCATGTAAGGCCCTGAAATTTGTGGGATTGAAAGTTAACCAAAATATCCAAAAACTAGGGGCAAGAGATACAGAGTAAAAGCATGAATCAGATACTGAGAAACCACCCCTCAATTTGCACTGGAACCACAAAGGGCTAACCCCTCAAGGTAGAGAATAAGTCTTCAGAAGCAAGTCAGCCCTCCCAAGCACTGAGCCTTTGTTCTACTCATCCGGCTGTCCTTAAGACTACACTGGATTAAGTTTGCTCCTTTAAGAACCTTAGCAGTACCTGACGAAAACCTCTCTAAAAACAATAATCATCCCAAATTATTTCAAATTATTCCTCAAAAAAATTCTGCAAATACAAATGTCTAGCAGCCTAAAAGAAATCAGTGACACATCGAGGAAGAAAGAGTAGAAATCACAGCAAACAAAAACATATCTACAAAGACAAGAAGTTAGAATTACCCAACATAGACTATTTTAACAACTACACTTGTATAATTACAAAAACCCAAACAACCCAATTAAAAATCTGGCCAATGACCTGAATACACATTTCCCTCAAGAACACATACTAATGGGCAATAAGCACAAGAAAAAATGGTCAACATTACTAATCATTAGAGAAAAGCAAATCAAAACTACAAAGAGATATCACCTCATATCCATTAGAATGGCTATCATCAAAATAATAGTAAGTGTTGGTTAGGATGTGGAGAAGCTGGAAGCCTTGTGCATTGCTGAAAGAAATGTAAAATGCTGGAGCTGCTATGAAAACAATACAGTCATTCCTCAAAAAGTTAAGAAAATTATTAGCATATGATCTAGTAATTCCATTTCTGGGTATATGCGCAAATGACGTAAAAGCAAGGGACTCAAATATTTGTATACCCATGTTCATGGCAGCATTATTCACTATAGCCAGAAGTAGATGCAACCCAAGTGTCCATCAAAGAATGAATAAATAAAATGTGGTGTGTATATATATATACACACACACAGTGGAATATTATACAGTCTTAAAAAGGGAAGAAATTCCAACACATGCTACAACATGGATGAACCCTGAAGACATTATGCTACATTAAATAAGCCAGTCACAAAAGGAAAAATATTTATGACTCCACTTATATGAGGTATCTATAGAAGTCAAATTCATAAAAACAAAAAGTAGAATGGTAGTTGCCAGGGATTTGGGAAAGGGAGTTATTGTTTAATGGGTAAAGAGTTTCAGTTTTGCAAGATGAAAAGAGTATTGGAGATGGATGGTTGCACAACAACATGAATGTACTTAATGTCACAGAATTGTACACACAAAACATACTCTTTAAAATAGCAAATTTTATGTTATATATGTTTGACTAAAATTTTAAAACTATACTTGCTGTAGTTAAAAACAGAAACAAGAAATTAGAAGCTACAAAAAGTAACAGTTTCAATTTTTTTAAATCTAAAACTGAAAAGTTATAAAGTCATGAATGGGTTTTAAAGCAGATTGGGTGCTGCTGAAGAAAGAATTGGTGAACTGGAAACTAGGTCAAAATAAAATAAAATATTCAAAGTAAAGTGGAGCGGCCAAAATCTAGAAATATGAGAGCATGAGAATATATGGTGAAAAATCTAACACAAATTTAATCAGAGTCCCATAAAGAAAGAAAAAGGATGATGCAGAAGCAACAGCTGAAGAAAATGGCAGTGAATTTTCCAGACTTATGAAACACATCATGCCATAGATACAAGAAGCCAACATACCTCAGGCAGGGATGCATGGAACTTAGTGAAACCATAGAAACCTAAGGATAATTGGAAAATCCTTTATGGCAATAGATTACCTCCAGAGGATAGCAGTTACATTTACTGACTTCAGAACAGGAACAAGAAAAGCCAGATGCTGTGGAAATATATCTCCAATGTGCTGAAAAAAAATAATGTCAACATTAAATTCAATATACAGAAACAAAATCTTTTAAGAATAAACACAAGAGTGTGATATCAGTGAAAATATCAAAGAACTTCCAAAAATCCCTTCTTCCACAAAAGCAATTTTTAAATGCCAAAAAATTAGCCAAATCAACTTTTCTTTAGAAATCTAGAAATTTAACCAAACGTCTGCCACACTCTGGAGAATATCTGTTAAAGAAAAATGATTAAATATCCTAAGAACATAAATTTTGTGGTATTTTAACTTGCCCTATTCCCTCCCCCAACCCCCAACCCTACCCCAGCTCTATAGCAGTCTTGAAAACCAACAGCCTACAATCGTAGTGAAAACCAACATCCTGGCAGCAACAGAAGAGGACAAAACAGGGTTGGAGCTCCTTCAAAGTCTTATTATTTGTTATGGCTACAAGGTTCCACCTGCAAGGTTACATTTATTTGAGCTGACACAGAGCTCACTGAAAAGTATTTTCCTCAGAGGTATCTGTCAAAACAACTAAAGACAACTGTTTAATTTTGTGACTACCTGAGACACTGGACAACAGTTGGAGCAAATAATATGTTAACCCAAAAGCTTAAAAGGAAAATCTGGGGAATGAGATGCCCACAGGGTATTAAAAACTCTGTATATTTCTGGAAATCTAGAAGGCCACGGTGCATACATAGAGCCATGCACCTACTCAAGGTTGTGGGAATGCCCAGAAAAGAAACTGGAGTGCCCTGAGATAGCCCTAAGCTCTCACACTGAGCTGACACTGAGACTCTGCACAATCAGAAAATGAAGACTAATGTTGCAAAATATTTGCCCTGTTTCTTTCCTGCAGACTGTGAGAACAGGCTGTTCCAATGAGACTTGAAAAGTTGCCTTTGCAATTATAAACTGGTAGGTTAAGAGCTGACACACGTCCCAACACATACACAGGGTCTCTTGGGAAAGACTGTGAGACTTACTGATTCCAGGCATTTAAGGAAACCTCTGTCCAATTATTAGCTGACCACTAAGCTATTCAAGTACAGAGTCAGTGAAGATACATGACAAAGAATACAGACTTTACAGAGTTAGTTCAGGAAAGTCACTACATAAACAAATGAACAGAAACTACTATAACAAGCAGCAACAACAACAACAAAAAAAAATGGAAGAAAGGAGAATCAGATTTCCAGAGTTGCCATATTATATTATTTAAAACATAAAGTTTTCAAAAAAGTATTATAACACATACAAAGAAACAGGAAAATATGGCCCATATACAGGGAAAGAAAAAGCAATCAATAGAAACTGTTCCCAAGGAAGCCCCAGTGTTGGACTTCAAATAACCTATTGTAAACATATTTGAATAACTAAAGGAAGCCATGTCTAAAGGATTAAAGAATGGCAGTATTGTTTCACCAAGCAGACATCAATAAAGAAACAAATTATAAAAAGAAACCAAATGAAAATTCTGGAGGTAAAAAATACAATAATTGAAATAGCAAATTCATTAGAGTGGTTCAACATCATATTTGAACAGGCAGGAGAATCAGTGAGCTTGACGATAGATCAACTGAGATTAACCAATCCAAGGAGCAGAAAGTCAAGAAGTTTGAAAAAAAATGAACTGAACCTCAGAGCCCTGTGGGAAACTACCAAGAATACCAACAGATGGCCAATCAAGGTGGCTCACACCTGTAATCCCAACATTTTGGGAGGCTGAGGTGGAAGGATGTCTTAAGGTTGGGAACTCAAGACCAGCCTGGGCAACATAGCGAGAACTCATCTCTACAAAAATGGAAAGAATGAATGAATGAATGAATGAGAGAAAGAGAGAAAAAGGAGGAAGGAAGGAAGGAAGGAAGGAAGGAAGGAGAGAGGGAGGGAGAGAAGGAGAGAGGGAGGGAGGGAGGGAAGGAAGGAAGGAAGGAAGGAGGGAAGGAAGGAAGAATGGATGCATAATGAAACTCTCAGAAGGAGAGAAAATAAAGGGGTACAAAGAATATTTGAAAGGATAATAATTGAAAACCTCCCAGATCTGATGGAAAAAAATTATACATTCAAGAACCTGAATATACTTCAAGGATAAACTCAAAGATATTCACACCTAAATATATTATAATCAAACTATCAAAGACAAAGAATTGTGAAAGCAGCAAGAAAGCAACTCATTAAAAAGGAATTCTCAAATCGCTTGAACCCAGGAGGCAGAGGTTGCAGTGAGCTGAGATCGCGCTATTACACACCGGTCTGGTGACACAGCAAGACCCCGTCTTAAAAAAAAAAAAGGATTCTCAATAAGAATAATAGCGGATTTCTCACCAGAAACCATAGAAACTAGAAGGCTGTAGGATAACATATGCAAAATCATAGAAGAAAAAGATTGTCAAACAAGAATTCCATATCCAGAAAAATCATTCTGCAAAAACAAAGGAGAAATTAAGACACTCTCAAATAAAAGCTGAGAGAATATGTCACTAGAAAACCTACCTAACAAGAAACAGTAAAAGGAGTCCTTCAGGCTTAAATTAAAGGACACTAGATAGTACAGAAAATTCAGGTGAATGAATAAATAGCACTAGTAAAGATATAATTATAACGGTAAATATAAAAGACAGCATAAATGTAACTTCTGTTTGTAACCCTTTCCTCCTACCCGATTTAAAAGATAACTACACATCATCAATGAGCAGAAATAATAATATTTCCTCTTTTCCAAATTGGATGCCTTTTATTTCTTTCTCTTACCTGACTGCTCTGGCTAGGACTTCCAGTATTATGATGAACAAGAGTGGTGAAAATGGACATCCTTGTTTTGTTCCAATTCTTAGAGGGAATGCTTTAGGTGTTTCCTCATTCAGAATGATGTGGGTTGTGAGTCTTTCATATATGGTTTGAATTATTTTTCAGGTATGTTCCTTCTATGCCTAGTTTATTGAGGATTTTTTCATGAAAAGATATTGAATTTTATTACATGCTTTTTCTGCATCTATTGAGATAATCATATGTTTTTTGTTTTCAATTCTGTTTATGTGGTAAATCACATTTAATGATTTGCATATGTTGAACCATCCTTGCATCCTTGGAATAAAACCCACTTAATTGTGGTGCATTATCTTTTCGATATGTTGTTGGATTTGGATTGCTAGTATTTTGTTGGGAATTTCTGCATGTATTTTCATCAACGATATTGGTCTCTAGTTTTCTTTTCATTGTATCCTTGCCTGGCTTTGGTTTGGGGGTAATTCTAGCTTCACAGAATGACTTAGGGAGAAGGTCCTCCTCCTCAATTTTTTGGAATAGTTTCAGTAGGATTAGTACCGGTTCTTCTTTACACGTCTGGCAGAATTCAGTTCTGATTCCATTTGGTCCTGGGCTTTGTTTTATTAGTAGAATTTTTATTACTGATTCAATCTCACTACTTGTTATTGGTCTGTTCAGGATTTCTAATTTCTTCCTAGTTCAATCTTGGAAGGTTGTATGTTTGGATATGATCTTGCACCTAGAAAGCCCTAAAGACCTAGAAAGCCCTAAATGACTCCTGGATTTGATAAATGAATTCAGTCGCATTTCAGGATACAAAATTAACCAACAAAAATCAGTAGCACTTCCTTTTTTTTTTTTTTTTTTTTTGAGACGGAGTCTCGCTTTGTCGCCCAGACTGGAGTGCAGTGGCGCAAGCTCAGCTCACGGCAAGCTCCGCCTCCTGGGTTCACGCCCTTCTCCTGCCTCAGCCTCCTGAGTAGCTGGGAGTTACAGGCGCCCGCCACCACACCCGGCTAATTTTTTGTATTTTTAGTAAAGACAGGGTTTCACTGTGTTAGCCAGGATGGTCTAGATCTCCTGACTTTGTGATCTGCCCGCCTCAGCCTTCCAAAGTGCTGGGATTACAGGTGTGAGCCACTGCGCCCGGCCTCACTTCTTTTTCTTTTTAAAGATGGGGTCTCACTCTGTGACAAAGGCCAGGGTGCAGTGGTGTGATCAAGGCTCACTGTAGCCTCAAACTCCTGAGCTCAAGTGATCCTCCCACCTCAGCCCCCCAAGCAGCTAGGACTACAGGCATGTACCACCATACCTGCCCTAATTTTTTTTTAAATTTTTTGTAGATACGGGGGTCTCATCATGTTACCCAGGACAGTCTTGAACTCCTGGCCTCAAGTGATCCTCCTGCCTTGGCCTCCCAAAATGCTGGAATTATAGGCATGAACTACCATACCCTAGCAGTAGTATTTCTAAACACCAATAACCATCAAGCTGAAAACCAAATAAAGAACTCAATTTCATTTGTGATAGCTACAAAAAAATAATAAAATACCTAGGAATACATTTAACCATGAAGGTGAAAGATTTCTACAAGGACAACAGCAAAATGCTGATGAAAGAAACTGTAGATGACACAAACATATGGAAAAACATCCTATGCTCATGAAATGGAAAAATCAGTATCATTAAAATGACCATACTGCCCAAAGCAATCCACAGACTCAATGCAATTCTTACCAGAACACTAATGTCATTTTTCATAGAGTTAGGGAAAACAATCATACAATTCATAGGGAACCAAAAAGAGCCCCAATAACCAAATCAAAAAGAACAAGGCTAGAGGCATCACATTACCTGACTTCAAATTATACTACAAGATTACAGTAACCAAAACAGCATGGTACTGGTATTAAAAGAGACACATAGATCAATGGGGACAGAATAGAGAATCAGAAACAAAGCCACACACCTACAGAAAACTGATTTTCAAAAAGCTAACAAAACACTGGGGAAAAACACTCTATTCAATAAATTACGATAGGAAAACTGGATAGCCATATGCAGAAGAAAACTAGACCCTTATCTCTCACCATATACAAAAATTAACTCGAGAAAGATTAAAGAAGTAAATGTAAGACCTAAAACTATAAAAATTCCACAAGAAAACCTAGGAAAGATGTAGGGACCAGTCCCACAGGGTCAGTGGGTTTTTCTCCCCGCATGTGGAGATGAGAGATCGTAGA